GATGATGCCTCAGAAAAGCTGGAATCTGGAGGTTATTGCACAACTCCCAGGCAGCTTCAGTGTTTCTCAGCAGCCCATACTGCTCATATAAGCTTTGGGAGGAAGGGACCTGGTGCATTTAGTTAGCTTCAGGGCTTTCCTGCGTCTTCTGGGTTGTTTGCATCCTCGGTATTAATGACAACCACACTAGAACTACCTGAGTCTTAAGAGCATTCCACCACGATGCATCACCTCCCTCTAGGACATCCGAGTCTAAACATCATTCCACGATGAAATGTTTTATCTCAGAGGAAATTGCCTCACAACATAGCAGGCAGGAAAATTGACCTGAACATGATGATTCTCTGGTCCTGCATTGATGGAGCTGTCTTTGTGACCCAGGGCAGTCCGCTTCTCTCTATGGACCTCAGTTTCCTTTTCTATAAATATGGAGGTTACATTTCCTTATTTTTTTCTTAGCTCAAAATTGCTGGAAATAACCTACTAGCCGAGACAGTAATTTAGATAGCAGGAAAGGGGAACCTTGAGATTTATTTCCTGGTATGAAGAACGGGGCAAAACTAATTTAAACAGTAATAAAAAAAATTGTGAAACATCGAAAGCGGTGGTGTTATTGGCAGGAAGCTGGTGCTACTGGTAAGGTAAGCAACAGTAAGAGACACGTGCCAAGATGATTACAGGGGATGAGAGGGAAACTGACAGCAATCAATAGGAACGTAAGTGGAGAGCAAAGGTAGGGGCCACAGAAGGGGAAGAGAGCAAGAAAGTAATGAGCCCTGCCAGGCAGTGATGGTGGAGGAGAGGCAATGAGACCTCTGTGAACCAGAGTGAGTGAGCCAGGGGTAAAGACGGCAGCACATGGCCTGGTGCAGGATCCTGACTTCTTCAGACAGCGTCAGAAAGCACAGAGGAGAAGAACAATAGTGGGAGATGCCTGAGTTCATTCACTGTAGGCTACAGTTTACTGAGCCCTCCACCATAGTGGCTCTGAGCTCAGAATGCAAATCACGTGTGGAGCATAAGTATGCTGTCCAACCTCTTCCCAGCTTTAATGTGTCTGATGCGGTCTTCTGGGTGGGTGTTTAGTTAAGTTCTCCCTGTGCTTCTGGGAGCATCTATTTCTCAGGCCAAGCCATTAAGCCAACCAAGACACACAGTTGCAATGTAAGCAGGCAAAGCCAATCTTCACTGGGAGTAGGTGTTTTCCAGGATGAGAAAGAGAAAAGGAGAGGGGCTGGAGGGATGGCTCAGTGGTTAGGAGCACTGACTGCTCTTCCAGAGGACCTGGGTTCCATTCCCAGCACCCACAGGGCAGCTTATAATTGCTTGTAACTCTAGTTCTAGGGCATCTATATGCCCACTTCAGGCCTCTGTGGGTACAAGAGATACATGGCACACAGACATACATGGCAAAATGCCAACAGACATAAAATAAGTACTTTTAAAAAGAGATAAAGAAATGACATTTAAAATTTTATACATGAAAATAGAAATCAAAAGTTCTTACCTTGCAGACTGCACAACAATCAGGTAGTAGGTTGAGTGTAGAGTATGGGCTATAGTTTGTTCATGTTCAGAGAGTGCCACGGCACGGAGTCAGGGGACCCTCTCAGAGGAGCTGCAAGTTTCACCTCTTAGAGTTTGCCTGGATGCCCTTCATCCAGGGGCTACTTTCTTACAAGGAATAGACATGTAAGTAGACTCTGGTCTGTAGCTATTCATTAGAGGAAGAAATAAAATCAGATTTGAAACTGTTTCTCAGGTATTATTATTATTATTATTATTATTACAGTCATTGGATGCTGTCTTTACCCCGAGAATCCCAATGCAGGAGAAAGGGTGCGGCCTTTGAGAAAACCATGATGAAAGGACAGGGCACTGAGCATCATACGTGCCAGAGGCTGTGTTCAGTGTGGCACCGTGTTCTCCTCCCAACCCCTGCAGACATGCTGCATGTTCAGATATGCATGTTATCAGTACTCTCTGTTCCATACACATGGGACTGGAAGTCATATGTGTGAGCATCCTCAGCTACAAAGCGAGTTCGCACAGAGCTGGGTGCTGCAGGCTGATGGGCTGTTCAGTGCAATTCTGTCAACCCTCCTTTCCTTATACAGGGGTTGTAGTTCCTGAACAAGTAGGTTTGTAAGCAGAACAGAAAACAACAAAAACTTTTAGAAATAATAATTATGAATTACAAAACAAACAAGTGTGCTGGAAAACCAACTTTCAGTTAAAACATCTGGAGGGCGGCTCCTGAAGAGGACACTGGTTTAACTCCCAACATCCACGTGGATGCTCACAATCATCTGTAGCTCCAGGTCAAGGGACTCTGTGGCCCTCTTCCGACCTCTTTGGGCACTAGGCAAACATCTGGTGCATAAACATACATTCAGGCAGATACTCACACACATAAAATAAATAATTATCTAAAGAAGTATTTAAAATGCACTTGGAAAAAAAAAGTCTTCCCCGTTAGTCTAGCTTGCTTGCCTGTTGTGTTAAAATTCCATCAAAGCAAAGAATGGCAGGGGATGGTAGAAATGACAACCGTGTTTAGGGAACTAGAGTTTGGGAGAGCTTTTCATACTACTGGAGCCTGAAAGATACGTTTCTAGAATAACTCACATGGGGTTATCTAGGAACCAAGACCTTTACATATAGGAATTCTCATTCTAGTCATAGAATGCACAGGCTACCTCATCAATACTCCCCCTGAACTTCTCACAGTGAAGGGTCAGATCATATTCTTGCTGATTTGTAATCAGTTTCTGTTCATCAGTTAGAAGGATCATCATATTTTTCTTTCTCTAAAAATGAGAAGCTCTTGAAAAGCACTAGAGAGCTTTCGAGAAGAGATCTAATGAGCCATTGACTGTGTTTTTCTGTTACATGCTGTAGCTCAAGCCTTTTGTTTTAGGAAGTGTTTGTCAAGTAGTTCCTGGTACCCATCCAGTCTTCTGATGACAGCATCCTTGGACATCCAGCCCTTCTCCTGCTGTCTTCCTTTGGGGGAAACTCTCCTCCATACCAACTGTGGGGTGTACCTTCCTGTTGGCAGGTACCAATCCAGTGCCAAACTATTTTGCTGTAAATGCTGGTGGGAGAATGTTGTTTCTCCACTTGGTTTACAGGCATATTTACATTTTGCAGAAAGAGTCTGTTGAATCAAGCCTTGAAAACATGAAGAGGAAGAAAGAAACGTAAAAGAAGAAACCAGCTTTCTTCTGTGGATGAGACAATACATTCTGCTTTTGCTTAAGTTTAAGAAAAGGAATCCATATCTGGTACTTCAATCCCCTGCCTCTTCCCCAGTTCAGTCGCAGAGACCCTGCTTTAATCACTGCCCCCCGGATATCTGCCCTATGACAAGTCCTTTAGCTGTGGGGCCCCTACCTTGTACTAACTTGTTCAGTCTCAACTCTACCTCAGAGTGTACTAGAACATTCCCCCAATGTAAAACAATAAAAGGGTACCTATTTTCTCTCTGTTTTTGTGTGTGTTGTGCAAGAAAAATAAATGCATAGGAATAATAAAACATTTATTTAATGCTGAAAAATATTTGTTACAAAATTAATTGTTGTTTACAACTGCCTTTGATATTTCAAGAATAACTCTGAGAAAACTGAGGGTTTTTTGTTTCCTTTTCCTTCCCTGTGATGACTTAGACTTAAAGTTGAGAAGGAAGAGTGAGGAAGGACACGTGAACAGGGAATTAAGAAGGGAGATTAGGGGAGCTTAAGAATTACAGCTGGAGGCAGAAGACTACAGGCTTGCATGAGCGAGGGTGTGGAGCAGTGCGCACAAACAGGATGAGAGAAGGGTGAGGTCTCCTGGGCGGAGTGTGCTGAGCGCTGGGCACCCGGAAGTTGGCCTCCTAGGCTTTCCTGATGTGCTGCGGGAGCCCACCTCTCTCTTTTCCCTTTGGGCGATGCTGATTTGGGAAAGCTATAAGCGAAGGGGTGGGGGGCTGAGGGCAACCTGTAAGCGGGGTCACACCTGTGGAGGTATTTGATATCGAGAAGGAAGTGCACTGGATCTTTGTTTTTAACAAAACGTCTCTTTGTAACACTGCTGCAATGAAGCCTTCATCTTGATGTGAAAGGATTCTGATGACCCCAGCCTTCCGAGGTTCCTGTCTACATTACACCTGCGGCTTTCAGGAAGGAACGGCTCTGTGTCTGTATTTTACTAATTTATGTTGCAGGAAATGTTGTCATTAAGTATACTTCCGTTATTTTTCAATGCCTTCATAGTATATCTGTACACACAGGTATTTAATAAATCTTTATTAACTATACTCTCATCATCCTTCAATGGCTTCACAGTATATCTTTACACACAGGTATTCAATAAGTCTTTATTTACTAAGTATACTCCTGTCATCCCTTGATGGCCGATGGCGTCATAATATATATGTACACATGCTTATTAATAAGTATCTTTATATCGTAGACCAACACCCTTACTCATGGGAAAGCTTTACAGCCAGATGCTAGAAGCCCACCGTGGTCTCTATCAAAGGTCTCAATTAGGAGGAGTGCCCAAACTAAAGCAGGTATCTCTATGGGTAGCCTTGGAGTGAGAAAGTACTGTTGGAACTTTGAGATCTTGGTTTAAATTCCACAAAAGATCTTTTGTTCTTCATCCCTCCCTGCTCAGTAACTCCACTTTGCATACAGAGAAGGCTGGTGATGCTTGAAGTTTATCCACAGCCCCAGAGCTAATAGAGAAATTATTGAAATGGAAAAAAAAATCACCATTCACTCTCAAGCCCAAATATAACTGATAAAGCAAAGATCATTAGAGGAACCAAAACCAAATAAACAACAACTTATAAAAAACGGGGGGGGGGGGGAGACAGAATATTCTCATAGGATCAAGACATCACCAAATAAGTCACACCTTGGAGGACTAAGGAAGTCGGGGTCAGGAGCCCCCCCCCCCCGAGCCCAGGATAACCCTTGATGTTGGGGGGCAATCCGTCACCTTTCTGGTAGACACTGGGGCCCAGCATTCGGTGTTAACCCATGCCCCGGGACCCTTGAGTGATAAATCAGCCTGGGTCCAGGGGGCCACTGGAGGAAGAAGATACCAATGGACGACGGACCGAAAAGTACAGCTGGCAACCGGTAAGGTGACTCACACCTTCTTGCACGTTCCTGACTGCCCATACCCCTTACTAGGGAGAGACTTGCTCACCAAACTGCGGGCACAGATATATTTTGAGGGGACGAGGGCACGCATTACTGGGCCCCAAGGTCAACCTTTACATGTGTTAACTCTTAATCTAGAAGATGAATACAGACTGTATGAGCCTGAAAAAACCCAGAATCTGATGATGACCTACTGGTTGGAGAAATTCCCATACGCATGGGCAGAGACGGGGGGTATGGGACTGGCCATGCAGCAGGCACCACTAATGATCCCACTGAAGGCCACGGCAACTCCTGTATCGATCAAGCAGTACCCCATGTCCCACGAGGCCTACCAAGAAATTCACCCACATATTAGGAGATTATTGGACCAGGAGATATTGGTTCCCTGCCAGTCTCCCTGGAACACTCCCCTCCTCCCAGTAAAGAAGCCAGGGACGGGGGATTACCGCCCAGTGCAGGACCTAAGGGAAGTCAATAAGCGGGTGGAAGACATCCATCCCACGGTCCCCAACCCTTACAACTTGCTGAGTGGGCTGTCCCCAACCCATACCTGGTACACAGTGCTAGACCTCAAGGATGCCTTTTTCTGCTTGAGGCTACACCCCGAGAGCCAGCCCATCTTTGCCTTCGAATGGAAAGACCCAGAGTTGGGAATATCTGGGCAGTTAACCTGGACTAGGCTCCCACAAGGGTTCAAGAACAGCCCCACGCTCTTTGATGAAGCCCTGCATAGGGACTTAGCCGATTTCAGAATTCAGTACCCTGCTATGATCCTACTCCAATACATGGACGACCTCTTATTGGCAGCCACCTTAGAGGAGGACTGCAGGGAAAGCACCAAAGCTCTCTTGCAAACCCTGGGGAGCCTAGGATATCGGGCATCTGCAAAGAAGGCTCAAATCTGTCAAAGGCAAGTTACCTACTTGGGCTACCAAATAAGAGATGGGCAGAGATGGCTGACTGAGGCCCGCAAACAGACAATTATGAGTATTCCCATCCCCCAGAGCCCCTGACAGCTGTGGGAATTCCTGGGGACGGCAGGATTCTGTCGCCTCTGGATCCCAGGTTTTGCAGAAATGACAGCACCCCTGTATCCACTCACTAAACAAGGGACCCTCTTCACCTGGGGAGAGGCCCAACAGAAGGCCTACGAGAACCTCAAAGAGGCCCTGCTGATCTCCCCCGCCTTGGGTCTTCCTGATTTGACTAAGCCCTTTTAACTGTTCGTGGACGAGAAACAGGGCTATGCTAAAGGGGTCCTAACCCAGAGACTGGGCCCTTGGAGACGCCCCGTGGCATACCTCTCAAAGAAACTTGACCCTGTAGCCTCGGGATGGCCCCCTTGTCTTAGGATGGTGGCTGCAATAGCGGTCCTGACCAAAGACGCTGGCAAATTGACTCTAGGGCAGCCATTGACTATTTTAGCGCTTCATGTGGTAGAAGCTCTAGTCAAACAGCCTCCAGATCACTGGCTTTCTAATACCCGCATGACACATTACCAAGCCTTGCTCCTGGACACAGACCGGGTACACTTCGGACCAGCGGTTGCCCTGAACCCGGCAACCCTGCTCCCCCTGCCGGAGGACGCAGAGCACCATTATTGCCTTCAAATCCTTGCGGAAATGCACGGGACCAGACCGGACCTGATGGACCAGCCCCTCCGGGATGCCGACTTCACCTGGTATACGGACGGGAGCAGTTTCCTGGAAAACGGGGAGAGGAGAGCTGGGGCAGCGGTGACCACCGAAACGGAGGTAATCTGGGCCGAGGCTCTTCCATCAGGGACCTCGGCCCAGAGAGCTGAGCTTATCGCTTTAACCCAGGCGCTTAGGATGGCAGAAGGTAAGAAGTTCAATGTCTACACAGACAGCCGGTATGCTTTTGCCACAGCCCATATCCATGGAGAAATCTATCAGAGACAAGGGTTGCTAACCTCGGAAGGCAAGGAAATTAAAAACAAGTCCGAGATCCTAGCCCTACTTAAGGCCTTGTTTCTGCCTCAGAAACCGAGCATTATCCATTGCCCAGGGCATCAAAAGGGACACAACCCGGAGGCACGGGGTAATGGACTGGCAGATGCAACCGCCCGGGAGGTGGCACTCAGGGAGATAACCCCCTCCTCCCAAGTTTTTCCCTTGGCCCCAGGAAAAGCCCAACCCATTCCACGCTGCCCCCTCCCATATAGCCAAGAGGACATAGATCTTCTAAGAAAAATGGGGGGCAAGCATGATCCTGAAAAAGGGCATTGGACATTCAAAAATAAGCTTGTCATGCCCATGAAACAGACTTATGAACTGATCACTGACTTACACAAGCTGACTCACCTCAGCCCCAAAAAGATGAGGGCCCTCTTGGACTGAGAAGAGAGCATTTATTACTTGCTGGGGAGAGACGATATTTTACAAACTGTGGCAAATAAATGTAAGGCCTGTACACAAGTTAATGCAGGAAAGACCAAGTTGGGGTCAGGGGTCCGGGTACGGGGGCATCGCCCCGGAACTCATTGGGAGATTGACTTCACTGAAATAAGACCTGGACAATATGGATTCAAATACCTATTGGTATTCATGGACACCTTTTCAGGATGGGTGGAAGCCTTTCCCACCAAGTACAAGACTGCTAAGGTTGTAACTAAAAAGCTCTTGGAAGAAATCTTTCCCAGGTATGGCATGCCCCAGGTATTGGGCACTGATAATGGACCTGCTTTCGTCTCCCAGGTAAGTCAGTTGGTGGCCAAGCTATTGGGGATTGATTGGAAATTACATTGTGCATACCGACCCCAAAGTTCAGGGCAGGTAGAACGGATAAATAGAACCATCAAAGAGACTTTGACCAAATTAACGCTTGCAACTGGCTCTAGAGACTGGGTGCTCCTCCTTCCCCCAGCCCTCTACTGGGCCCGGAACACACCGGGCCCTCATGGACTCACCCCATTTGAGATACTATATGGGACACCTCCACCATTCATTAATTTCTTTGACTCTAATATTGCTGATTTTGCTAACAGCCCTCTCTGGAAGCTCATTTACAGGCACTGCAGATTGTCCAGAGAGAGGTCTGGAGGCCATTAGCTGCAGCCTATCGGGAACAACTGGACAAACCAGTGGTACCACATCCCTTCCAGATAGGAGACACTGTCTGGGTCCGCAGACATCAGACCAAAAACCTAGAACCCCGCTGGAAGGGACCATACACCGTACTGCTGACCACCCCCACGGTGCTGAAAGTTGACGGCATCGCCGCCTGGGTCCACGCCTCCCACGTCAAGGCAGCCCATCACCCTGAGGAGAAGGAGCCAACTGCGACCCCACCATGGAGTGGGGTCCAGCACACCCAAAACCCGTTAAAACTAAGACTCACCTGTGGGGCCCCTTGATTACTCTCTGGGCCCTGCTAGGACTAGTAGGGGCAACCCTAGGGGGGAGCCCACACCAGACATACTCCTTAAAATGACAAGTCCTGTCCCTCAATGGAGAGATTGTTTGGGAAATTCAGGGCAACCATACACTTAACACTTGGTGGCCTACTCTCACACCCGATTTTTGCCAGTTAGCTGCAGGATCAAATGGCTGGGACCCCTAATTATCATCTTCTTAATCTTACTCTTTGGACCCTGCATCCTTAACCGGTTGGTCCAATTCATGAAAGACAGATTATCAGTCATACAGGCTCTGGTGTTAACTCAACAATATCACCAGCTTAGGCAATTTGACCTAGAGATTCCCGAGTCCACTTAAAACAATTGAATGGAAGATTCCATTCAAAGTCATAAGAGAAATGGGGGAATGAAAGACCCCCCCCCCCCCGTCCAGCTTGCTAAGCAGCTTAGCACCAGATGAAAGACACCCCCCCCCCCGCCCAGCTTGTTAAACGACTTAGCACTGGTAACGCCATTTTACAAGGCTTGTACTGAATATTCAGGGTTTGAACAAAGGGCAGTTTAGAAGCTGCCAAAACGAGATAGAGACACCCGTGGCTGGGCTGGGAGAGGAACGAGGAATACCGAGAATGTGGCTGGGTGTCGTCTGCCCCAGGTGGGGAGAAGACACTCTGTCTGCCCTAGATAAGAGCCAAGGCAGCCCATATCTGAATTCTTGGGGACTAGGGACCTTGTCCCGACCTGAACTCGGCCACATTCAAACTAACCAATAAAAACCCTGTAACTACGCTTCTCTCTTCTGTACCACGGTTTTTGCTCCCCAAAACATATATAAACCCATTACCCTGACCTGGAGGCGCACAAGTCCTCCGAGAGACTTTGTCGCCCCAGGTACCTGTGTATCTGAATAAACCTCTTGCTGTTTGCATCCGTACAAGTGGTCTCGCTGTTCCTTGGGAAGGGTCTCCCCAGAGGAAAGACACTCTTGGAGGGTCTTTCAGCTCAAGGGGGAAATGTTATCATTGTGCTGGAAAAGCTGATGGTGGACAGAGTCGCCAGCAACAGTGGGATGGTATCAGTGGCTCCAGGTACCACTGTTCCAAACTGGGAAGTTATCTATGATTGCTTCCAGACGAAAGGATTTGAAGCAGGATGCAATCAAGCCTTGCAGCTCTAACTTCCAATGCACAGGAATTCTAAGAACAGAACAACCAGCTAAACGACACTGTGGAGAAATCTGAGATGGAAGTGTAGCTCACCACAGTGAGCATGCGTGAATCCATCCCTGGAGTTCACCACAGTGAGCATGCGTGAATCCATCCCTGTAGCTCACCACAGTGAGCATGCGTGAGTCCATCCCTGACTAGAACAGGTTAGACAGGACAACCACCAGGGTGCTTAAACTGGCCACTCTTGTATTTTAAGTGGAAGAGAACTGTTTTGAGTGTAGACATTTGCCTATAAAAGAACAAAGCAAAAATATAGCAACTGAGCCTACCCTCAGAGCTGGCAGGAAGAAAGAAAAGCAGTCATGAAAGACGCTTGAAGCAATTACAGTGACAGAATCTGGACTCTCTGCTGGTCTTCTGGAATTTGCATTACATTTCTTTGAAAAGGCAATAATAGTATTGTAGCTAAGCAGAAAGAACTATCAATTATTATTAATTATTATTATTATTATTCCTGGAAGAATAAATACTTAGCTATTTGACATCTTCAGCAAGATGCGAACATCACTAACTGACTGGGAAATAGTACAGAAAAAAATGGATGCTCTGTGAGAAAAAGCAAGATTTCCCTGAAGATCATCAGGGACATGGCTTGATGATGTCACTCTAACTGAATTGTTGCCTGGAAGTGTGTACTCAGCGCACCTCTCCCATGGCACACCCACTTCAAACGCACTGCACACACGCCTGTGGGCAGACAGGCCTGAGCAGTGATGTCCCTCACCTCCCAGCTACAGTGCTGAAAGCGGCCCCCCTCCTTCTTGGGTTTTACTCTCTTCTTTCTCTGCTTTATTTATTTGTTTACTGCAGAGCTGGAAGTTGAACCCTGGGTATTGTACATGTCATGGCTCCATCAACGAGCTGCACCCCAACTGTTCTGTAAAAGATTAGGTTCTGGGGCCGGAGAGATGACTCAGAGGTTAAGAGCACTGACTGCTCTTCCAGAGGAGCTGGGTTAAATAAGTTAAAGTTAAATAAATTTTATAAAGAAGAGGAATCTTGGTGCACTGAATTTAAAACTAAACTTTCCTCTTTGTTGATAAAAATTTAAAGTCAAAATTTGCCTCTTAGGTTCTGTTTTTGCTCTATCCCAAAAGTTGTGACCTATCCAGTTTATGCTGAATACTTTCTAAGCCCACTTTTCGTGTCTCATTTGAGTCAATGAATTATGTATGTGTACTCTTTTATTCTTAAGTTTGTGTGGGTTTTTAATTATCTTCGGTAATTAATTTCTAATTTATGTGCCATGATTAGTACATTTCTTGAAACCTGGCTTGTGAGCAGATGGTCAATCTTGGTAAATGTTTTATGTAACCTTGAAGAAGTAGGAGTTTTTGGACTATATAGAGCTTGGGTTTGAGCATTGTGAGACACAAACACTGTATAGCCTTATCAAGTTTGGCTTACTTAATTTATCAAACCTGAAAGAAAGGGTTCAAGTCGACATGCCTATTTTGCCACTTCCTTCTTAGGATTTGTATTTTTTTTTTAAATTTATATCTTTTGAGGACACACTTTTAGGTGTGTGTGAGACACAGGGTCAAGGTGATCACAAACAAAGAATACGAAGACTGTCACAGTCCAGAGTTTACCAAGACAATGACATATCGGTTGTTGTGGCCTGCCTCAGGAGCATGGGGGGATTTGTTTCAGCTCACGGTTTAAGAGGCTCAGACTTATCACGATAGGGATGGCACAACGCCATAGAGTGGGAAGGGACAGGCTGCATTGCCAGGGCAGACAAGAAGCTGCTAGAAGCAGAATCAGTATATCACCCCTAAAGGCCATCCCCGAGAGATCCGCCTCTGCCCCCAAAGGCTTATAATCTTCCCATCAGCACCACCAGCTAGAGGCCAAGTGTGCAAACCCATCAGCCTAGGAGGACTTCTCATACTCAGACAGCAACACAGTAAACTAAATATAGCATGGTTTTCCAAATGCCATCCTTTGATAGAAAGGGGCACTCTGTAAATGGTAAGAAAATGTTGAAACAAAACAAACATGGATTTAAGTTAGTAGTGACACTGGTTCATAAGATGTGATGAATGTATGATGCTAGCAACACGAAAGCTGAGTGTAGAGAAACCCGTTCTTTATTTGCTGTGGGGCCTCTCTGTGAACCTGAAAGTGCTCGAAAATTTAAGACATGCATTAAAATAGTGGCCTAACATCCTTGTCAATATCCAGAAGGCCAGTATAAAATCCTGGCTAAATACTGACCATATTCTTTTTTTTCCTCCTTTTTCTCTTTCTCTCTCTCTCTTTTTTTTGCAATATGCAACAGTTTATTTATAAAACAAAAGAAAAAAAACAAACTTAATTCTTTTACGACATCTTATAGATTAAGTAAAAATACCAGTATTAATATATATGTATATACATAGTGCATGTATATAAGTACAGATGATACGGTAACGTAACATGCTTCTCGTTGGCGCATAGCAAATGGGTCCTATGTTGAGATCCTGGTTTGATCACTTCCTGTACTTAAAGTCTGAAAGAGAAAGAAAAGAGAAGAAACAAGTTTTCTTGGGGTGATTGAGATTGTGATCGAATTCTAAATCACTATGAAGGAACATCTTTCTCTCTTTTTTTTTACTGTTTTTATTAAGCTGCACATTTTTCTTCATCTTCCTCCCTTCCTCCTTCAACCTTTCTCTGTGACCCCAATGCTCCCAATTTACTCAGGAGATATTTTTCGCCTTCCTATGTAGATCCATGTATGTCTCTCTTAAGATCCTCTTTGTTGTCTAGGTTCTCTGCAGTTGTGACCTGTAGGCTGGTTTTTCTTTATGACTAAAAGCCACTTATGAGGGAATACATATTATAATTGTCTTTCTGTGTCTGTGTTACCTCACTCAATATGTTTTTTTTCCTAGATCCATCCATTGCCCGCAAATTTCAAGATGTCAATTATTTTTTACCGCTGTGTAGTACTCCATGATGTAAATGTACCACATGTTCTTTATCCATTCTTGGGTTGAGGGGCATCTAGGTTGTTTCCAGGTTCTGGCTATGACAAATAATGCTGTTATCAACATAGTTGTGCACATGTTCTTGTGGCATGATTGAGCATCTTTTGAGTATATGCTGAGTTTTGAGATAGATTGTTTCCTAATTTTCTGAGAAATCGCCATATTGATTTATCAATCCTAAAACAAGGGAAAATGACGGGTAATTCATGAGATTGAGAGAAAAAGAAATATCCTATAGATAAGCATCAGACTAAAGATTCCTATTTTAACTCATCTTGTACTGCTATGGTCAAACGCTAGGGAACAGCAACTTAAGTGAGGACTGGTTGATTTGGGCTTCCAGATCCAGTATCAGCACAGCAAGGAGGGAGGGCATGGCTGAGCAAAGCAGCCCACTTCACCAGGACTGAGGGGGAATGTCTGCTCTAGAGTGGCATTTTCTTTCTTCTCCTTTATTCCATCCAGCCTACGGGATGGTGTCACCGATACTTAGGGCAGGTGTCTTTAACTGATCTCCTATGGAGGTACCCTTTAAGACGCACCCAGAGGAGTCTTCCTGTTAATCATCACGCATCCCTGGGAGTGCTAGGGAATCAGCTCATGGGCAGGGTTTGCCCCACATGTACCAGGCACTGAGTTCCATTCCCAGCACTGCAAAAGCAAAAGAAAAATCCCCAAACACTCCTAGAATTATCTGCTCTAGACACTAAAAATATGTCCCAAATAGAGATATCCAAAACATTAAAGCTGGAAAGATAAACATTAGCCACACTGTAAATTTATCTACAGAAAC